CCTACAGGTTGTGAGTCTGGTGTCTGGGCTGCAGATCTTGCCCTAGATCCCCAAAGGCAGGGAAGAGGCTTCCCAGCTCATTTTAGTCCCGGCAGGCCCACTGTTGGTAAAGGAACAGGTTGGTTGAGGTCACTCAGGTTTTCGGAGCTGTGAATCCTTCACTCTGCTGTCATATTGCTCGGATCCAGATACAGCTAGATTCAGGGTGACGGACAACGACTTATGGAACAGAAGTCGTCCACAAATCCCATGCTGGATGGCTCTTTGCTTTACCTCTCTGTTTAGTAACTTCTCCCATCAGTGCAATAGTCAGCCTATAGTTTATAAGTTCATGTCCATGATGAGAGGCTCTCCCTGTGTAGAAAGATGCTGAGAATGACACTTGCCCTTTTCACTTATATGTGCCCCGTCCACTTTCTTCCCCCTCCTCCAAACAATGTGCAGTGTTCGATGTTGTCACTCCATGAATGAAGGCAGGTGGGGTTTTCTTACATTACATCCCATCCCATTGCAGGCTGAGGACATGAAGAATCCGGCATAGCTCCTTATTAATGTAGCTCATAGTTGATGTCACAGACGAGGCACCTTATGTGGTCCTTTCCCATCCTTGGTCTCATGATGCTTTCACAAGCCCACATAGGCACCAATATTCTCCCCAAATTCTAAAGCTCAGAGTTTGCACCACGGGTCCACAGCCACACAGGTAAGTAAGTAAAGTAGAAACAGCCAGAATCCAGGCTGTGCCTCACGATTGGAGGAATGGTGGCCCTAGATGAAGGTGTCGGGCCACGTCCCGTGTGTGGTACCTGGATCGTGGCGTCCGCAGGTGTGGGGTTGGGGAGGACTGAGCGGTGACAGTGCCCAGAGATGCAGTGCTGTCTGAGCTGCTCATTCAGGGAAGGACAGGGCCCTGAAGACGGATGGCCTGTCCACTCGGAGGTGTGGGCCGTCTGTGGGCAGCCTATGAATCAGGCTCTGTCGACACCGCCTGTGACCTGTTGGACTTGGCGAGCCTTCTTTGGGTTGACAAAGAGGAATGTGGCAATTTATCGCATTCTTGACACTTTGCTGAGTCTCAGGTTTTAAACTGCACTTTACTGTGTGTTTGTTTTGCAGAACAAATGGCTCCTTCTATGAGATCTTGCAGGTGGACTTTGGAATTGACAACAGCAGTGGCCTGGCTGGCGCCCAGCAGATCACCTGGCAGGTGGAGTACCCGGTGGAGGACGCCACGAGGGAGCTGGTTGTCTCTGAGATCTTTGTCAGCCACACCTCCTTTGTGGGCATCGTCCCGCTCGCAATGGTGAGATGTTGGGCTTCGGAATCAGTGTCACAAAGATGTTTTCTTCGAGTACTTTTTTTTTTTTGCCTTGCCGCGTGGCATGTGGGATCTTAGTTCCGCGACCAGGGGTCAAACCCTGGCCCCTGGCAGTGAAGGCCCGGAATTCTAACCACTGGACCGCCAGGGAATTCCCTGAGTACTTTTAATATTCAAAGAAACATGTGCATTTTATAATCTGCTGTTTTCTATGTACCTTGATGTTGCTTGAGCAAGGGAAATACACTTAAGTTATATTTTATTTACTTGCTTTCTGTAATGCCTCCTTGGAAACTAGGGCCTGCTGTGTAAATCCGCTTTCCTTTGTGGATACT